ACAATTTGAGGATCAAGAGTTTTTAATTATTTTGGGGTCCCCTGTTTCCCTTTTCTGGAGGCACAGATTTTGCAGAATCCCTCTGCCCTGCTAGTCATGGAACTGGGCCAAACCAGCCCATGAAACGTTGACAGTAAGTGAAGGCTTTTATCATCTCCTCTTAGGTACTCCCCTTCCTTCCTAGCCCAGAAATTCCCAATGGCATATAGGAATGTTCTTCTCTCTTATCCACTGTGTTTGGATATTGGCAAAATGAGTAGCTGTTTTGCCAGCCTTTGTCCCATAGATCTCAATGTGTTCTTTTGGATTCCTTTGCTCTTTTTCATATCTTTAAATACCTGAATTAGGGCCTTGTTAATTTACCAGTAGAGCAGCATGTATAATAGAGAATACACTGGTTTCAATTGCAGTGTTTTGGTATCAGGCACAGAGCAATGAGCAGGAAAGGGCTGCACCTAAAATGAACAATGTCAGATAATGCTTTCAAAGAATTCTTAGATGCATTTAAGCTTTAGAGAGCAATTGTTGAACAGCATGCATACTGCTGCATAACCATTAGAAACATCATGGATTTAGAGGAAAAATAAGCTTTTGTCAGAAACCAAGGCAGTTTTGCTTGTATAAAAGCCCAATGGTGTCATTTGGCATTCACTTTTCAGGAGATATAGATGTTTAAAAATTTAGTTTTATAACTAAACATGCAAAATATGTGCATTTAAACTACAACTCATCCATGTAATATTGTTAATTTTGCTCAGTTTTGACAATATAGGGTGTCAAAATCAAAGATAAATATTGCAAGAAAGAAAGAAGAGTAAGAAAATGCACAACAAATCCCTATTGCTATCAGTAGATTGAAATACGATTAAGGAAATGGCCCCATAAAATCAAAGGATTTTTTACACAGACTGTTGCATTGTTGCTTTAACATCCCAAATGAATCCTCCTTGCCATATAAAGGTTTACTCTGTGATTCAGTAAGTGATTATATTAGCTTCAGTGATATTTTTCAGAGCCAGCTGTTTCACATGCATTTCCGTTAGAAAGAACAAAGTGTTCAGGATTAAGATAAGAGTGCTCTTTAGTGGCCTCAATAGCTGGCTCAATCAACTCTTCAAACTGTCAGTATGACAGATATTTCTATGTAGTGTTCCCATTAAATATTTTAATCAAGAGAACTACTGTAATAGCACCAAATTGGGCATATAATTAAAACAGGAAAATTTCATATTTCTCTTTCATGTAACTGTACTAATTCTCTAATAAATTTCATAAAGTTGACTCATAATTCTTCTTTGGCATTCTGACAAAAGAACAGAATTGTTTGCAAGTGTTTGCCTAATTTCCATTATTCAAACCTAATTTCAATTTTTATTGCATAATTTTGAATATACTGATTAAAGTAATGCTAAGTCTTGCAAAGCTTTGCCAAAGAAAATGAAAGAAATTATGTATATTTAATTGGTTACAGTTCTTATTTAGGAACAACTTGTTCTTTTTTCTTTTAAGGTTGATTTTTTAAAAAATCAACTCTACATCATTCATTAGCTAACTCTGTGAAAAATAGGGGGTATGGGATTGTAAAAATATATATATACACATATATTTTTGAATTTAAATCTTAATAAATTAATATCTATAATTTAAAGAAAAAAACATTTTTTTAAAAAAAGCTCTCTGTGCACTTCAAATCTCCACATGATCTGTATTTAGATCTTGTACTAGTTAAGTATTAGCTTCAATATTGCTAATTCTAGGTGACAGACTTCTAGAGAAATGAAGAATGAAACGTGACAGCATAAGAAATATGTTAATAAAAACAATTAGTAGAATTTAACTTCTGAAATTTCTGATCATTAAGTTCAGCTTAAATTATATTTTTCAACACACTTTCTATTAACCTGTTTTTAGCTTTTTTTGTTGACATGTTTTCTGTCTTTATAGATCCTTTGATATGCTTAATGTTAGGTACATAACTTGTTTTCTTCCTTATTTAAGTATTTTTATTTTCATGGTTAAATGTTTTGTTGATGTGAGAGGTGTCCAGCATTTTCACAAGTAAGTCTTAGATGACCAAATTGCATTAAACTGAATGTTGTGAGTCATATTACATCATTAATGGTGAACAATAATTTGATTAATTAAAAAAAATGATGAAAACAATATTCAGTTGAAAACTAAAAGAAGTTTCTGCTACTGTAATCAGAGAGGAAAAGATGTAAAACTTACACATCCTCACAGATCTAAGGGCATAAATTTGTTAAACAATTGTCTATAGAAACTACTTAAGATTGAAAGAGGTAATTCCTAAACAATGAAATTGTAAGGTTCTTTTTTATATCTTTCTCTTAACTCTATGAAGAAGAATACAAAATTGAAAGTACTCTATTTCCCCCAGATCTGATAAACTTTTTCTGCATTTGAGCAGAGATATCTCAATTTGCACAATATGGGACACTGGCTAAGGATTCCACTTGTATGTCTTAATATTTTATTCTTAGAGGACACTGAATAATTGGGTTTTATGGAAAGCATGGACAGTGGTGGCACGTGGCACTACTATATAGTTATTTCATCTACTTTCCAGAATACTATTCTCAATTCTTCATTTTTTTTTATTGAAAATATTCAATGCTTCTCATGCATATGTATATAACTACTGTACTAGCTAGGAAAGTAGGATGCATCCTTTTCTGTTTTCTTTGTGTATGTACGCTTTTGAGATCAAATACTACAGTTCTTGTTTCCCTGATTATTGTGTCAAAGTTTGTAGGAGAGCAAGAACTGGAATCATGACTCTTTATTTAACGGGGGTACCCATAGCCCTTGGCTAAGAAATAGCTCTCAAGTTTAGTCTTTTTTTGGTGCACTGAATATTTAATTAGTTATTGCAAAGTGGAACAGCTCTCAGGCTGAAGTGGGAGAAGGAAAATATTTTTCTCTCTCATGAATATCTTATGGGATATTCTCCTGGAAGGTAAGAATTCTGGTCTTCTCAAACAGAGAAGAGTGAACCCAGGTCTCTTACATTTCAGCTCAGGGCACAGACTTGAAACTAAATTAACTGGAAAGATGCCTAGGTCTAAATGGGTCAGCCCCATACAGTGAGTAAAAATATTCCAAGCAAGTTAAGTTCCCTTACTTTTGCTGAAATGGTCAATAGAAGGACCTGGGTGTTCTAGTGGACAACAGGTTGCCGTGAACCGGTAGCATGCCTTGTGGCCAAGAAGACCAATGATATCCTGAGGTGCATCAAAAAAATCATGGCCAGCAAGTCAAGGGAGGTGTTCCTCCCCTTCTACTCTACCTTGGTGAGGCCACATCTCATCTGGAGTACTGTATCCAGTTCTGGATTCCGCAATTCAATATAGATATGGAACTTCTAGAGAGAGAGGAGTGTCACAGAGATATCTGGAGCATCTCCCTTACAAGGAAATGTTGAGAAACCTGAGGCTGTTCAGCCTGCAAAAGAGAAGACAGAGGAGATTTCACCACTGTTTATAAATCTAAAGGGCAGCAGCGAAGTCAGCGGAGACAGACTCTTTTTGGTGGTGTGTGGCAACAGAAAAAGGAGCAATGGACGGAAAGTTAAACACAGGAAGTTCTATACATACAAAAGGACAAATTTCTTTATAGTGAGAGAGGCAGAGCACTGGAACAAGCTGCCCAGAGAGATTGTGGAGTCTCCTTATCTGAAGATATTCAAAACTTGTCTGAATGCTTTTCCTGTGCGAACTACTCTAGGGTACCTGCATTAGTAGGGGGTTGGACTAGCTGATCTCTAGAGGTCCTTTTCAACCTCTTAAGATGCCTGATGGAAAGGGACCTCAGTGTACTGATGGACAGTCAACTGAATATGAGCCAGCGGTGTGCCCTGGTGGCCAAGAAGGCCAATGGCGTCCTGGCTCGTTTCAGGAAAGGTATGGTGAGCAAGACTAGGGAAGTGATCCTGCCCCTGTACTCGGCCCTGGTGAGGCCTCACCTTGAGTATTGTGTTCAGTTTTGGGCACCTCAGTACAGAAAGGACATTGAGGAGTTGGAGCAGGTCCAAAGAAGGGCAACAAGGCTTATGAAGGGCTTGGAAAATATGCCCTACAAGAAGCAATAAAGGAACTGGGGCTGTTTATTCTGGGGGAAGAGGAGGCTGAGGGGAGATGTTATGGCTCTCTTCAAATACCTGAAAGGATAATTAGAGCAAGAATGGGGCTGGTCTCTTCTCAGTGGTGACAGGATGAGGGGAAGTGGCCTCAAGTTGTGACAGGGTAAGTTTAGGTTGGATATCAGGAAAGACTTCTTTACAGAAAGGGTTGTTAAGCACTGGAATAGGCTCCTCGGGGAGGTGGTTGAGTCACTATCCCTGAATGTGTTTAAAAACGGTTTGAATTTGGTGGTCAGGGACATGATTTAGTGGAGGGTTGTTAGAGTTAGGGTAGTATGGTTAGGTCATGGTTGGACTTGATGATCTTTAAGGTCTTTTCCAACACAAGCAATTCTATGATTCTGCGATTTTTCCTTGTGAACCCTATCTAGAGGAAGGACTCCCTGACAGAGTTATCTGAGGCAATTTTGCACCATCAGGATTTCTAATTGTTTCCATCAGCATGAATGCTGAATTTTTATCCTACTGTTAGAGATGTAGCACTTCCCCTATAATGTATAATAAACCTCTTAACCAAAGGAAAGGTGTAGACTCCACTAGGTTGCTACATCCCAGAATACTGGCTAAATTTGGTCTCATTTCTGCAAGTATACACAAAACCTGACAAGTTTTATTTTGGATGTACAAAACATACAAAAAGTGGTAGTAAATTTTCAGAAAGGAAAGCCAAGTCAATATCTCAATGTGAGTAAATCAGTCTGAGATTTTATGGCTCACTATACATTTTAAGAGCAACATAAATGATGCTATCACCAATGTGATGAGCAAAGGTTCATCTTAAGAGAAAAATTTGTTAATGAATGTTGAGTTCGTAATGCACTTTCTTCCCCAAAAGGTCAGAAATATGCAAAGCCACATACTGATGCTACACTTATAGGATAAAAGCCACGAAAGAAGAATTTGGAGTTAACCATTTGGAATACAACTTGGTAAGTCATCTATTCTATTCTCCTACCAAAAAATAGGATCAGCAAGCATGTCTGTATGGACAGATGTTTGTTTAATCTGTTTTAAAATGGCTCAAGATAGAAAGACATTCTGTGGCCTCCTTCATTACAATCCTTGGCTGTTTTAATAGTATGAAAGATTTACCTATCCTAATTTCTTTCACACTGTAGGAAGATATAAACACCAGTTTTATACCTTCAAAACTTTAAAGCACAGGATGCAGACAGCAACATCCTATATGGCATTTATTTACAGTAATGTGCACTACAGTAACTCACTCCAGAACATGAAAGTAAAGCTTGGGTCTGAATATGTAATATGACTCTATATTTCTGAGAAAGTCCTCAAGTTAGTTTTCAAAGAATATCTGGAGTTGCGATAAGTGTTGTCTTTTATCTATTACTAACTGTTAAATAGTGACTAAATGAAGAGAAAGCTAAAAAAAAAAAAAAACCTCATCCATTTTATGAGGTATAAGAACTATGGCAGGAGATCATATAAAAATGCTTAAATTTTACACTAAGAATATTTCATTACTCTCAGGCTTTTGTTAGAGTAAGAAAGGTTCAAGTAAACCAACTGATGCACCTGAAGTCAATACATCAAGTTCATAGTACAAAATAAATTAAAAAAAAAAAATTGGGCCGAGTGATCTGTTTCAAGATTTTTTTCAAGGTAGTTTAAGGCAAAACTCACTTTTTCAGTCATATCAAATTCTACAGAATGAAGATAAGCTATCTTTCTAAGCCATTTGTGTAATCAATCTGTATTGTTAATAGCTCATCTGGGAGATGATATGTCTGCATCATCAAGCCCTTTGATGGACAGCTTTTTATCAGTAAGTTGCAGAAGAGTATAGCAATGAATTCTAAACTTTATATTTATATATATATATAACAAAAACGTGTTTATGCAGTTATGCACCAGAAATTTTAAGAAGTATTTATATTTCCTTCATATAAACCCCACTTAAACACATTTGTCAAGCTCTCACTGTTACTATAGTTCCTAGTGACCGTAATTATTATATTCTAATGAGTTTTCTCTCTTCACTCCACCTCTCTCTTTCTCCTTTACTCTCTTCATCACCACCTTCTAAGTAAGCTCAGCAATCTGGTTCAGAACTTTGAGGGTCATTGAATACAATAGAATGCATCTTCTCAGAAGTGTAATAATTGTATTACATCTTAGAATTGTCTTGGAGAAACAGGACAACCTAAACAAAAAATCTAGATTCTTTTTCTAGAATCTAGGAAAAAAAAAATCCTTTTGTCTCATTTATTTTACTAAAAAAATTTTGGAATAGATCAGCAGCTAGTGGCATTGGCTATATCTGTAGTGCCTTGAAAATTCCATGCTTTTCTAACAAAATTTATTCTCCAGCTGGATACAAAAGCAGTTTTAAGCCTTAACTTCTGGTTATGGCTAAATTTTCTACTACAAAAACTCATCAGAAATTCTATCCTGAGCAAGCCACGTTTCTGTTAGTTACTTAGTGGATGAAACAGTAGCTTCACTCATCTATGGAAAAAAAAAAATACGTTTAGAAAACTTACAAATTTTGCTGTCAAGAAGGAAAGCATGGGGAAATTAAACTAGACATATTTTTGCTGATTTTATGTATCATATTTTTATCTGAAAGAAAATTGGTAACAGAAAGAAGTTGCGGAGAATCAAAAATCATTCTTGCTATGAGATTGTGAACGGGGGAAATGGGATAGCAGGTAAGAAATTTCAGAAGATTTTTCTCAGTCTTATGAGCAAAGGAGAGATGCAGGGACTAACAGCTCCCTTTAAAAGTAACAGATTGTAATCTTAAAATAGTTCAGTTTGGATTTGCATAAGTCATAGTTTGTGCATTTTTCATCTTAATTACCCCTGTTTTTGCAAATTTTCATCAAGTAGCTTGCGGCATCTGTATCACCCTCCTAACTGCTGCCTATGTGCCTGAGACTTTTCCATTTCTTCCCTACCTCAGGGTGCTTCAAATGGTGCATCAAAGTCTGACAGTAACAAGGTCTCCTGAAGAGCTGTGGGGATATAATTTCAGAGGTCCTGTTGCTTCTATGGCTGCTGCAGCTGGCAAGGAGTGGAGTAGCTTGGTAAGTGGAGGAAAGAAATGGAGCAGCAAAGTGATATTACCTAACACTGAAGTGATGGAATCTGTATTAACATCCTGTGGTCAGAGGGGGAACTGGAAAGCTCAGCCGAGTGCCCCACATAGCACAGATCTGTCCTGCATACCTGAATATCAGCATGAGGGAGCAATCTGTCCTGCTGCTTTTGCTCCAAACTTGACATCCAAATACTACCACAATCTCAGTAAGATATCTCAAGAAAGCATTTAATAAGAGATGAGCCACATTAACTTGCATTATTATATACTCACATGTATAAGTTCAGGCAAGAAAATCAGGAACAATGTAATCATTTTCTATGATTACTCTATGAATGCTAAAAATATTTTGAAATATAAGCTATCTTTTTTTTTAGCTAGTAGGTAGTAATTGCTTACCAGCCAATTACAGTTATAGTTTTGTTTTTTACCAGAAGTACAATTAGAGTTGGAGCTGCATCCAGTAATTTAGTGAGAGATCTGGTAGACTTTGGTTCACTGTGAACTTAATTATTTTATCTGACAGTTCAAGTAAACACTGGATCATACTGACTTTTTTTATTGCTCATCTTGAAGATGATAAATACAGTATTATGCCACAACAAACACCTGATAAACTGTATATGAAATTTCAAATTTGCTGACTTTTTGTGACCTATCCAACCTCCAAGTGGTCTGATACGGTGAAAATATTTAAAAAACTTTTAGCATGACATTTTCTTTTGTAACAGAGGTTAAAATCTAGTTCCAAATTCAGAGATACAATTCAACTGTGATACTCACTTCTTATGACTATGTGTTCATTTGTCATAAGGGTGTTATTACACTGGAGTCTGAAGACACAAAGAAATTTTTTCATTGCTAGTTACCAGATGCGTGTTGAAAGAGTTCTTTTAATGTGTTATAAAGTTTTCCGTATCATAGTTTTTTAGGTACTTCAAGTATTCCAATTAAACTAAATATTATAGTATAAGTATTATTTGATCTTTGCAATGTCGCTTTAAAAAATTATTTGGTCACACATATTGTAGAATTTTCAAAGGAGTTCATAAAGAGGAAAAAACATTGATTTTCTGCTATTTATTTTTTAATTGATTAAATAATTTTTAAAAGGATAAATGATAAAGACATAACGAAGGTATTGAAATTGAATTGAGCTAGAGGGTGAGAAGCAGTAGTAATAATATGAAATTTACTTTAGTTATAAAAAAGAGCTGACTTCTTAATGGCTGGTGACAACTCAACTCTTTCAAGGCAGAAGGAGGAAAGTGAAAATAACTTTTTTGTTGTCTGTAGTAACTGTATACACCTAAGAAAATGTATATTGTGTAGAGCGTGACTGAGTACTGAAATTTAGAAATCTTTATTTGTTCTATTTACTCTCTCCTTAATGCTAAATAAGAAACAACTTTATATTTATTATTGAGAATTATACAACCAAAGTTTTCTGTAGAAATGTCTATTTAGTGACAATATAATGAAAAAATACATCTCTGGGGTTTACTGAAATTGTTATTGTTATGCATTCTGTAACTGATTCTGTTATATATTATGTCAAAAAGTGTACTGTAGAAATGTCTCATACTAAGTGTTATTTTTAGTAGCCATTTCCAAATAGCTTTTGTCTGTTTGTGTGTATATACCATCTTCAATAACAAGTTTTGTTTGAGTTTGCTAAAATTTGTTTTCAGAGAGACTTTCAAATGCACCACTTGTGTGCATGTTGAAAATGTAAGCAATGCCAATGATCGCATTTTGCTTTTTGCAGTTTTCAAACACTTTCTAAGGTCATATGGGTATTGCTGGCCAACCATCAGTAGTTTATTCGTTGCTTGATTATAAGTGGAATTGTAAATGGAATGAAATAAAATGGATATGGAGGATTACCAACTGCTGTTGGCTTACAACTGTATGCTTAAAGATGTCTTCATTCATTAACAGATTATTCTGGCCTGCCAAGGTTGAAAATGAAACGCAAGTCACAGCTTGTACATTTATCACTGTAAGGAAAGCATCCTGCCAGTACTAGTTAGGCAGGGCATGCTTGTAGCCATTAGTAGTCCAGTCTGATTATTGGGCTCAATCTGTTTCTAATGGCAACCTTTGCAGTGACAGCATTGTCTCCATCTGTGCTCACATAAGAGATTTAAAATCTTATCATTTAAAGTTCTGAAATAACCCTACAGACACAATTATTTACTTTCTTAGGGACTGTTCCAGCTGGTGTGTGGCAACCTGGAATACCTGCAACAAGCAAGCTGGCCCTTACCTTCTGCTTGGTAAGCCAAATAGCAGACAGTATTGCCTGTAATTATGACAGGTGCTGTGACTTGATTTCTTAGGTTTATTCTCTTGAACTATCTACAATTTTCCTACCCAGCATCATAGTGAATGATCTAATTTCTTCACCTTTCAGAGAGAGAGCTGTTAAGTGTAAAGTGCAAACTGCTCAAGGGAGTTACTATATATGTCAGGAGAAAAGTAAAGTGGGGGTAGGTGTAGAGAGGTAAGGCAGTAGGGGGAGAAAAAGAAATATAAAGAGGGCAGTGGTGAGAGCATGCTGGATAATCCTAGAAAAAATATCAGGCAATATACATGACAAAGGCATATAGCCTATGTTTTTCCTGAATCTGACATATGTTATTCGGAAAAAATAAAAATTAAAAAAAAGAACAAGGACCTCTGCCAATGAGTGTTAATCTTAACCAGTTTAGAATCCTGAATACATATCTTTATCTGAATTACATAAATGATTAATACACTGGAAAAGTGGACAGAAGCTTTTGATATGGAGATTTAAATTATCTGAGAATTGGGTTCTTTAAATGAAAATCCCTTGAAGAAATGCTTGATTATCTGGCTATCCAAAATCTCCTAAGTTGTTATTGTGCACATTTGGTTCCTAGTGATTTAGTGGAAGCTCATTCTACAAAACAAAATTCAGTTTCCAAGGCTGGAATTGAGAGAAAATATGGGAAGAAGAAAATCATTTTATCTCCCAGAATTTAGAGAAGAGCAAGAGAAATTCATGTAAAATGGACTCATTCTCTGTAAGATGCTAAATTATTAATATTTTTCAGGATATTAAGGTTGCTCTTAACAAATTTAATAAGATTTCTTAATGACTCATCAAAAAGGAAAAAAAACACTCTTTCACACAACTAGAAGTGAAAATGGAATTACTATAATTTCATTTTATCTTAATTCTGTTGCAAACAATCTGAATGTCTGAAAAATGAAAAGATATTAACTCTGATTAGTGACCAGTTCCAATAATCAAGCTGCAATAAACAAGAAGCTAGGTCAAAAGGCTGTTATACAACAGTAGGTTAAGTTTTAGGATGTCAAGTGTTAATATTATATGGGAAACAATTAAGATTTTATGAAGCTCTACTGAAACTGAGACATCAACAATGTTTAGGGAAGCTGGAAGAGATACAGGAAGAATCTGAAATGTGAAGTGCATATATAGAGCAATTAATTAATTAAAAAAAATCTCTTTGTATTTGTCAAGGTAAAATTTGAAATAACATTTTGCTGATTCCTCCATCTTCTGTCTCAAAGCCAGTTATTTGAATTGATATTTTAATAAAATTATGAAGGAGAGAAAGAACACAGAGTACAGATCATCTGGCTGATTTTGGTCATCTGGCTGATTTCAGGTACATATTTTAAGACTTGATTAAGACCTTATCTTAAATGTGATTTTCCTCATTTTGTTTACTCATAAGAAAAGTTTAGTGGACTAACTGAAATAAAGTAACATGTATGGCAATTCTTTCTGTTCAAATATTGTTTTCTGTGCCTCTTTTATGTATTGACATGTAAAAGATCAAAAAATATTATTTCAGTATATAGTGTCACCACTGAAGACCAGTCAGAAAGATTGGAAGAGTGTTGTCAACCATTACTATCTCTGGACTGAAGACACCTCATTCTATGAGATAATTCTCTCAGCAATACATGTTTACATTTGAAAATAGATATAAACAGCCAAGTCAGTTATACAATACTTGGAATTCAGTTGGTAACAAAATTATTTCAAATTTATATGAAATATTTTGTTTTATATTCCCTTCTCTTACAACAATAGTTGATTAACGTTTTCCTCTTCATTAAGATAACCCAGTAGGGGAAAAGAATAAAACAAACCACATTCTGAATTAATGTAATATGAGCTTTGGCACACCTATTGAATGATGCAGAAATCAAACAATAACACAATATCAAATAACAGAAAAAAGAAAAAGTACGCTCACATCTATTTGGTATACTTGCACCAACATTACAAATATGCTCAAAAAAATGTATGTAAAGATGGCTAAAGTGTCTACATAAACTCAGCTATATTAAATTAATTTGAAACCCTGGAATAATCATTGTTGAAAATTATGCCATTAAAAAATTCAATTAAGATTTGTGACTCACTTCAGTTTTGATTTTATCCCTTCTGCTCTAGAAAATTATGAACTGCATATCAAGAGCCCAGTGGGGCTCGGGAGGCAATGACTAACAACCATTTCAACACATCTTTTGGATTAAGACACCACTGACTCTATGAAAAAAATGATTAAGATACCTCACACAATTTCTTACGTTTTGTAACAGCATTGCAGTTGACCTATTTTTCTTCAAAATACTATGTTTTACAAGGTTTTGAGAAAGAAATGTTTTTGATTGTTTTTCAGGAACTCAGTGTTTTGGGATTTCATATTTATTATACATTTTGAGGTGTTTGTTTTCTAAATATCAGCAGCATGTTTCTAACTTTCATTAGCAATTCCTTAATTTTACCAATGGGACACTCAGTTATTTCACAATCAAATGAGGATTTTTCAAAGTCAAGATCTTTTCTCACTTGTTACATGTTAAGAGATAAAGCTTTCTAAATTTTATATAACAAATTCTACTGCTTGTATGGAATTGTATCTTCCAACAAATGCTTTTGGGATATAATATATTCCAAGTAATCTTCTTTTTGTAATGAATATTAAATTCATCTTGATAATGTATTAACATTTCTGTCCCACAAATATGAATTACAAATTGTACAGTATGTTCTGTTGTGTGTGTACATGAATTTGTATTTACATTTGAATGTAATTGATCAGAGTTAAGTGTTTGCAAAGATGTGCAAGTAATACTGTGAAAAATAATAGTAATTTAAAAACTTGAATACTCTGATAAAAAAAACTAAAAGAGCTACAAATGAGCAAACATTTATGTAATTATAATTATTTAGACTATATTTTAGATTTTTCCCCAGTTTCTTAGAATATGATCAACCATATCAGTGTTGGATTATTCAAAAATTGCATCTATAATTTGCATTTTCTGAATCACTATTAAGACAGTTCTGAATGGGTCTCTTTCTTCCAAGAGCCCATATAACATTAAGATTCTGCTTTTATGGAGAAACACTGCCTTTATAATCAATAACATATGGAAACAATAGTTGAATGGAAAGAATTCTGGATTCAACTTTTTTTTTTTTTTCCCTAAAAATCAAATAGAAATGCAATCTGTGTCTCTTTGCACCAGAAAAGAGGCAGCTAGCCTAGTACTGACCTTATTCATATTTGCTTTATGCTAGAATGCCAATTAAGATACTATCTTCTTACTATGGAACCAGTAAGAAGAAAATTAGGCCAATTTCTGCACGTAGGCAGCAATTAAGAAACTATTTGGTAATACCACATCTGAAATTAACATATCTATGTCACATGTGGACCTTTCAAACTGAGCTCATATAAGCTATGTGTATGACACCAGAATCTGACTTCCTGATACCAGTTTAAAAAAAAAAGTCACATCAGGCTTGTGAGGGCAAACTCTATAAGGAGTTTGAATCCATTTCATGATTGTGGTACTGACAAATGACTTCCACATGCTAACTATGGGAGGAAAATAATTTTTCTATATGGGACCTGCATAGATGAAGATCAGTTTCTGTACGTGGAAAGGGAAGAATAGAATCACAAATAAGAATGATATGAAAGAGAGAAGTACTTTTTTCCTAAGGATCTAGGGAAAAAAAAAAAAAAGAGTCTGATTTATAGGTATGAGAAACTACATGAAGATATTACTCAGCTTCTACATGACTATTAAGAAAAAGGGAAAAGATTCATAATGATCTTGTCACTTTGCAGTTTATTTGTAATGTAGCTAATCTAAGCAAGACAAGCTATTTAGGCTTCATTATAGTCAGTAGACAATGATATGCCTGGAGAAGGCATTTTCATCTCACCCACATTAGAAAACAGAAAATTGTAGTGGAGAAGTGGAGTAAAATAGGAGGATGCAATCCTGATAAGAAAGTGAAACAACCAGACACAGGAAGAATGCACAGAAAAAGGTTGTATTATGATAATGGTTCTATATTGATTTTACAGCATCCTGCTAAGGAATCTTGGAAAGATTTTGACAAGAAGGTTGTCACATGCTCCCCCTTCAGCACTAATTGTATCATCACTTTTGAAAGGTAACCTCATGAAGTACTAAGTATAATTCTTTGTATAATTCTGAACATAATGGCAATACAAATTTTGCTGGAAAATTAATGCAGATGTAATTAAATCACTAAAGAAAATCTTTCTTTCTATGTTAGTCCCAGGCAATTTTAGAGGTACCAGCTGCCTTACAGGAGCAAAACTGGATACTATTCAGCATGACTGTTTTAATTTATCAATACTGATGTATAAAGAGTACTGTTTGTTGTGGGGATTAGCTGTTGTCCCATTTCACCTTGTGTTCTGAATGATAAATGGTTATGCAAGCTGCCTTCAATATAATTTGTCATACAAACTCTATATAATTATTAAGATAAGATAATATGTGACAATATTTATGGAATAATATCCTCCCAATCATTCAGCTGCTTCTAAATGCTAAGGGCTAATTAGATGATTTTTGCCTCTGAGATCTGGTAATCATTTGTTGACAGATATTAAATGATTCAACTGTTTTCTCCCATGAAAGATATGCTATTTTTGGTTTTCCTTTTTTTTTTTCCTTCTTCTTTCTTCTTTTTTTTTTTTTTTTCCTGTTAATATGGATGCAGTAGTTAATTAAAGCTCAAGACGTTTACAACATCCAGCATTTGAATTGCACTACACTTCGCTTCAAAACTATGAGCAATTAACGCATAGGGCCTTTTAAAATTAATTGCAAGCTTTACTAACAATATAGTATTTTACTTCATTAAAACAAGATTTTGCTATCCAGCTGCTTTGATCTGCAGCCAGTGCTGCAGTCTGGTCCACAGAGAAGCACACACATAACAGAAAAGACCTTCCAAGACATTTACTGAGGCATATGTCTTTTATTGGAAACTTGTAGTGCTATGTAGTGTAGCATTTCCCTAACAGCTCATCACCTATACTCCTTCCCTGTGGCCAGTTGCAGATCATTCCTATGGCAGGAAAAGGGATTATGGCTGAAGAAAAAGAGTGGTGGCCTGTGTCACCCGTTCCAGTTTCAGTGTGTCTAATAACTAACGAAACCAACAGAAACTTTTGGGCCCTTCTGACTAGGAATGAACATGGGACAGAAGGTGGTTGGGAGAATAAAGCTCATCTTTGTAATGCTTAGTCTATGATTTGTACAGCTGGCCCAAGGTATGAGGTGAAGGATGTATACCTGAATGTCAGATAATTTGGTGTAAGTCAATAATAATCATATTTCATTTTCCTTGCCACATCAAATCTTACAGAATTTACCTTATAGTAATTTTGCAGCTGAGAAACTTAAGCATTCATTGTTCCCTATTTATTTAGGTTTTTAATCAGGATTTTACTCAGTTTTTATTATCTACTACTGCCTATAAAAATAGAGTAAACTGTATACCTCTGATAGCTTAACACATAAAATTTGCATTTCAGGTTCATTTCAGTTTTTGTCACATATTTGTGTGACCAAATGACAATACTTGCTATGTTCATAAAATCAATATAGCCTCATAAAGGAGAGATTTTTTTCATTTACAACAGAAGCTGTTACTGTTTATTATACAAAGGAATTGAAAATGAATTGCTTTTCCTTACTGCTGTTTTTTTCCTTACATTTTTCTTTTTTATTTCTCCACCAAAATTCCCTTCAACAGAAGACAGAGGACATATGTAAGATATCTAAAACATTGCTAGTAAAGCAAGAAATTTTACTTTTTCTGCTTTCTGCGATAGGATCTGATCCATCAGCCTCTAAATAGTAGGCAGTGATTCTGAACACTACTGATGGATTTCATGTGTTGTTAAAAGGGCTTTTTCTGCCAAGTCTACCTATTGGTTTGCTTGCCATCAAAATTCAACTGAGGGTGTGGAGATCCTTCTCCATCTAAATAAAAGGATTAAAGAAGTCATGTTAGCAAAAGCTCAAGTGATTACAAGTGTAAGAATTGTACCCACCATAATCTGAGGCAGTGATTTGACCTTAAAGTATTGTATCCAACTAGGTTTGAGACTGATGGAATACTGAATGTTCATCATCTATAGGAAGGTTCACCAACATCTGCTTCTGGCATTGTGGGCCAACATAATTAACTATGAAATATTATTTTTGGAGCAGTTTTCTTATATCCTCAGACAATTTATAACTTTTTTTTTTCCCTCAGTTTCTAATGAGAACAAAACAGTAACATTCTGAAAGTTCCAACAAAACAGATCAGTCTGTCTCACGTCACATGCTGATGGGCTGAGTTAAGAGTTGCCATTAACTTCAGCTAACAGAAATGTAGTGTGGCAAGCACCAGCCACATAACCTGCTCAATTTTGTTCCAGACCTCCCACAAGCTTTTCAGCTCTGCTTCTAACATATGCTATCTTTCCACTGACAAACACAAAGTATCTCCTTGGTTTTGAGCTAGAGTGCTACCAGCCATCCAACTTTTACAAATTCAGATACGTTGTCTGACAAAATGTATGTAAGAGAAGTTGTGTGTGAGAGTTAATTACTCCTAGAAAATATAATGTGGCATTTGACAAGACAAGGCAAAGAAACTTCCTGTTCCTAATGATGTATTTTTGAGTCTACTTTTCATATGATCAGAAGGGATTCAAGTTACTAAGGCATCATGATGACATGAGAGAGAATTAAGTACTGTTTGTAAGCTGTGCTATTCGGACTATTCCAAGTTTGAGATTTATTTCTTTGTGGGATGTATAGTTTTTATTTTTAAGTGCTATTTTTTTTTTCAGAATCAAGCAAAGCATAAGATTAGATAAAGATCCAAGAAAATATATCTTTCAGATAGATAGGGATTTTTTTTTTGTTATCAATACCTTTTTTTTTTTTTTTTTCCTGCTGGATACAACCTGAATATTTTCAAGCTATTGATTTATATATATATGTACATACTGATGTAATTTGTACATTTATACGTATTGAAATATATATAAATGTATACATGTGACTACAGACCTAGTTTAAATTGTTTTCTACTTGCTAAGTATTGTTCAATTCCTCTAGAAGTTAATTAGCAAATATATTAAAAAGATCATGCAAAAAAAGATAATGTATAAACTCCTTTTGCCAGTTTTTTAGTTTTCATAATACATACATAATATATACATATATACATATACAATATATACATAATACATTGAATTCATTTTTCAATTTACATTTATACTTGATCTGTCCTTCATTGTTGTCTGACTTACTGTTTTATACTATAATGCTAACAGCAGCAAAACTTTACCTGTTTAAAAATAATGTGAGGGGGAAAAAAAGCAAAAACTTTCTTGCAAATACAAACATATCATATTATTGTTCTCAGTTTACATTGACACCCACTGAGAAACTGGAGGTGAATTTAAGTCATCACTAGTTTTTCACACATGTTTTTACTGATTCTTTTAACTTTCCCTGTTTAGACACAGCTATTTGAGATGCCTCCCACATTTGCTGTAGAAAGCACACTGTTAACTAACTTCTTGTTTAAATGAAAGGCTATGCTGACAATTAAATGTGGGATCATGCATGCTTCAGTGCTATACCTTATTATAATCAACGTGAGTAGAAGCAGAGTGCTGAAATTATGGGTTTTAGTCTGCATCTGCATGGCATTATTATGCTTATCAAGGTGAAAATGTCGACACTGAAGAATATAATTGTGTACCTTAAGCTGCAGCAATATTTAAACTGAATTCCTGCCTCCACTATTAATGCATCAGAGCACAACTCTTAAGAGACGCTATAACTGAAAGCAGAGCTTTCAGTTCATGAATTTATTTCATTTCTTGCTTTTTTTTTTTTTTTTTAAGATTTTCCTATATAAAGTTTTTTGTTTGTATATTAATTCAATATAGATTTTCTGGTGCATTTTTTTTTTTCCCCTTTTAACAATGTCAGAGACCAGAGAGAATAGTGTACATTTCTATATAGCTCCACTGCCCTCCAGAAGGTCAAGTGTGAAATGAGTTTAGAGACACATTGACAGTCCATGCGTGAGCTGAAACAAGTTAAGCTAGTTATCAGTAATTTGGAGCTGTGGCTGTAGTCTTCATTCTTATTATATGAAATCAAATAAAATAATAAAATAACTCAGTAAATTAGCTATGCTTAGTATATTATAATTTTCATCTGAACGTTGTCTCATACAAATTATGCGTGTTTTATTTGTTGATTCTAATGTTCAACCATCTTGAACATTTTTATCTGTTATTCATTTATATCACAAAACAAATACAGCTTACTTAATACAGTATATTGCTTTTTTGATTTTCATATACATGCATTGCTTGTAAGCAAGTCACTTTAAAATTATTTGTTTAGATGGAATATAACATTTCTCTTTACTCAAAGAAGGAGAAAATATTTTGCCCTCTGGAACCACAGTGACTCTCTTGAGCAAATTAGAATATGTATAACCCATAGCAATGCAACACTATCTTAACAATATATCCAAATCCAGACCCCTGCTTGAACATAAGTTTAAATTTCTTAAGTAATATTACTGCAAACCCTGTTATCCTTCTCCTCCCCACCACTCTCCTTTTCTTCTCAACTCTTCCTTCTTACCACAATTTCCTTTTATAAAAGAGTTTTGGTAAGAAGTCAGTAGGTATTCTAAGTGAATACAACAAACGGTTAATTTTGAGAATTTTTCTGTTTCAATTTCTTGAAAAAAAAAAAGAATTTGCACAGGTTTCAGTACTATGAATGATTATCTTAAACTTACTTACTTAGTTCTAAACTACTCTTTGGCTATTCTCAATCTGATTTTGCCATGAAGAGAAAAACAAAGGCCACTTAAGTTCTTATTATATATATGATGAAAATTACCTTTTCTATTCCTTTGTTTAAGAAGGAAAATAAAAGCTCAAAAACACATGTGGTGTAGTGGAACTACTATGTCACATCTTGGACCGCAATTGAGCACCTAGTGAGAAGGCAGGACTAACCCAGGGGAGCTCAGGTGCATGCAATGTACCTCAGTGACCAGAAGAGGTGGAGCCAGGACCCACACCTTCCCGACCTCATTTAAGGGTTGGCAGTGGAGGCAAAGGTGTCTCTTTGCAGATTCTTGTGTAATTCAGGTCTCTTGAAGGTAAGTAGTTTTCTTTTGTTTCTGTGCCTATTGCTGTTATATTTCAGCAAATCCTCACTTGCAGTGTTTGGGGATCTTGTTGCTCTGCTGTCATAGTTGCATTTTCTATCATGTTACAATCTGTCTCGAGAAAGCTTCAGTTTTTATGACCGATGCTGGTAAAATTGATCATAGCTATAGAGAACTTTTCACTTACTCATGTTTATATGTTTCTTAATTTAAGTGAAAAAGCAGCCCAGTTGTGCATTTGTGTAGCTTTAATGCGCAGCACTAACTGTAGTAGTGAAGGAAGACTACAGTTGCACATTCTGCATAGGCAGAGATCAAGAAAATTAATGATTCCAGATCTACTCTGGCATAAATTGTGGAAGTGAGAAGTTACTTGTACTGCTCAAAATAATTAAGAAAAATTATTTTCC